AGACAGGAAGAATGATGATCACTGATGCTTAGGAGGGGAGATGGAAGGCAGGTTCATCAGTACTAGTTAGTTTTACATGACACCGTGACACAGCATGATTTCATTTAGTTCATTAGTCAATTGCTTTATTTTTAGAGATTAACCCAGTCAGTAGTGCAGGTCCACAAAGTCAGATTAATCCAAGTGTGAGATGGTGGGAGCTCACATGAAGGCTATAAGAATTGACGTAGGGAGAAAGCACTTTTTTAAAAAGCATTTCTAAAATAAAAGTGTCATGGGCACACTGTGAAGGCACACACACGAATTGTGTCCACAGTGTCAGCCCTATCCAGTCCTAAGCAAGGTTAACATAATTACAAAGCAGGTTCAGGATTCCAAACTCAGTAACATTTCCCCACATGGTGAACTTGGCTTCTCACCTTTCACACAGAGCAGGACAGAAGACGAGCCACACAACAAAGAAGATATCCCAGGGGGGCAGGAAGTGAGGGAACCAAAAGTTAGGCTGTGGGCAAGGAGGTGAGAGAAGGCAGCAGTGGGCCGTCCAGCCCAAGTCAGTGCTCGGTGCTCACCGCTTCTGTTCAAGCCCCCAGAGGATCTCTGTTCTGTTCAGAGAGCCATCGGGCACCGTGTGTGGCAACAGGGGCCTTTTGTAAGTGGTCAGACATCCACAGGTCTTATCTGAGGCATCTGACTGTTGGCTGCAAAAGTCTTTTCTTTCTGAAGGGATTGAACCAGTCCTGGGTCTCTGCAGATTTCTGTGCCTCTGCTCGTTAGGAGGTCTGGGGTATCATCGGTTGGTGCTGGTCTCGGCGATCTCTGGTGGCTGCAGTATGCTTAACTGCCTGTTTCACTGCTTCACACAGGCCCCTGCTTGACGTGAGTGACTCCATCTTGCTATGTACAAAAGCAACAGGACTTGGAGATGGACTCATCGAGTGAGGAGAAAGCAACGTTAACCACATCCTTGAGTCCTCCCACTTGGGAGGCTGGGGGGATGGTGATGCCAGAAAGGTCATGAATGATGGATGAGGAATAATTTTAGGGAAATAGAGAAAGCACGTAAGTAAATAAAAAAAATTTATAACTTTTACCCTATTTAATTTTAAATATTACATTAAAAATACAAAGAAACACGTGTTGAGTGGTTATCCATCAAAGAAGAATTGTGTCCATTCCTGTTTAATTTCCATAAGGGGAATCTGCTTCTCTCAAGATAAGCATCTTTGCTACTTTTGATGCCATTGGATTCGGATTTTAGTATTTCCTGCAAATCTAGATGGGAATGAGCAAATACGGATCCCTCACTGAAATATTATCCACTTTCCTAATAAAAACTTTTTCTCATCAAATCTTTTATTTCAAAGTAATATTAATTGTTGCTTCTGCATTAATCCTTCCTCTTCTTTGTATCTGTCTCATTTTGCATCACATCGTCATATGCTTTTCCCATTGGCTTTATTTTACGTGAAGAAACGTGTTTAAATACTGTAGGTTGAATAAGGCAAGAGATTTCTTTCGGAGCAATCCTATAGGGTCAGGCATTAATCCTTTTTATAGTGTTTCGGCTGCACTTGTTGCATTATAATGCAATCAAGTTTCAAAGCTTTGAGGATGCAGCAGCTGGAGGAAGATAGTTTAGCTATGATAGCAATATTTTTAAAGATTTTATTTATTTGAGAGAGAGAGCACAAGCAGGGGGAGGAACAGAAGGAGAGGAACAAGCAGGTTACACACTGAGCGTGGAGCCCAACACAGGGCTCGGTGTCACAACCCTAGATCATGACCTGAGCCAAAATCAAGAGTTGGGACACTTAACCAACTGAGCCACCCAGGCGCCCCTATGATAAGAATTTTATAAAGGTTAAAAAAAAAAAAACCAAAAAACTTACCAACTGTAAATGTATTCTAGAATGGAAAGATCGAACATTACGATATTGTTATTTAAGAATATTGGGATCAGAGTGCCCGGGTGGCTCAGTGGGTTAAAGCCTCTGCCTTCAGCTCAG